ATATTATATAATAACTGAAACTCAAACTGAATATCCAATATAAGTTCGTCTTTAAATTATATAGATTTCAATTAAAAGAAACGCTTTAACTCTTTTTTTTCTCACATTCACATCCACATATTTTACTCCAAATGACTGTTCATATATATATTTTTTAAGACTCACAATAACTTCACTCTTCACGGTTTAAGCTGCTGTCCACACAAATCCCATAGTATATAAGGATTCAAATATAATAACTGTGGAATGTAAGCAAAATGAGCAAAAGCAAAAAAAAAAAGAATTCCCATCTTTTTCAATTACTGAAACAATCGACATTAAATAAGACTCACGGAAGACGTGTGTGTGTGTGTGTGGACCCAATGCCGTTTCTTAAAGTGCTGGCAGCAATTTCAGGTACGACGCAACGCACACGCAATGTGAATATAATATGAGAGATAAATTGAGTGCGTCGGCGAATCAAGCGCCAAGGACGTAGCCGAGGCACAGCGCGAGGCAGACGTCAGAGAAGCTGAGCAGAGCTGAGTCAGAGCACGGGCTGACAGGCAGCTGGAGCCGGAGAGACGCCTTTAAGTAGGCAACAAAAGACAAGCGCTAAAAGTTAACAGCGGCGAGCACTCAAACGCAGGTAAGCTACAACGTGCCCAAGCGCGCCCACCTGCAGCACTACAGTTATATATTTATTTATTTATGCAAAAGCCAAATGGCAACACGTGCGAAATTCGCGCAAAATTTCGCTGCCTTACATTTGCTACAGTTGACTGCATGCACAACAGAGGGTGAGAGAGAGCTCCTCCTCTCTGTGAGAGAGAAAAAAATGTTGAAACACATTTCGCCTAACGAGCATATTCAATAGCATTTGTTGGTCAGGCCAACACCGCAATGGCTTTAAAGCTGTTTGAATAAATGAAGAACTTATGAATATTCCGTTTGCTGAAGTACATGTTCAGCATTCACAATTGGCCTCGGTTAACTAACAAGCGATAAAGTTCTTATGAACGGGGGCAGGACTGCCTCTTTCACTCCCTATATATATATCTCTCTCTCCCGGTCTTTGTCTATTTACTTCCCATTTGAAGTTGGAAACTCATCAAGTGCAGCTTGAAAAACTGTAAAAATGTTTGCATTTTCTTTTTCCCCACTTTCAACTTATAGACAAACTTATGGAATAAATGCAAACTGAGGACGTCATCTGAAGACAATTTAAAGTTTGCGCTGAAAATAATTTAATGGAAATTTAGTATAACATTATTATGATTATGTTGCTAAGGCAAGAAGCAAAGTAATTATCTAAAATAATCAGAGTGTGCTAATTGGATATCTAATACACCATCCTGGCCTGATTAAAAAGCATTATATTTCCACATTAATTGCAAATATCAGTCATTCAGCAAATGGGAAAATCCATGTGAATGAACAGTTCAGAGTTGATGTTTCTCATGCCAAATACCCATTTAATCCTTTCTGCCAAAAATAACCAAATGCGAATGCGAATGTGAAAATGTATCAATAGACAACAAAACTAAATACCAAAATAAACAAACAAACAACAAACAACATGCAACATACTACAGCAAAACACACTCGTGTACAAGCATTGTACAATATTTGTATAACATTTTGTGCACATTGTTCATCCTTATGGTCTTAGGGGTTTCTCGGTTCGGTGGCTTCTGCCCACAAAAAAAGAAACAGATAACAAAAAAAAAAAAAATCAAAATTCGAGGGGAATCATGCAAAAATCAACGCGGCGAGTTTTATGTATTTTGGGCATTGGTTTTTTATTTTTTTGGTATATTTTTTTGTACTCTGCATTGTAACAGATTAGGCAAGGGTATGACAGACGAAAATAAATAAAAAGGTTCCTGTAGCTATTCCCAATCAATTCATCTTTTACCCAGCTGGCATATACATATATTTATAAAATTACAGAGCATCTGCTAGTCAGTGTAGTTCAAAGCTAACATTCTTGTTATTGTTTCCACGTATTATCATGCTTTGCATTGCTATTGTGAGCTCTCTCTTCCTTTCTCTCTCTCTCTCTCTCTCTCTCTCTCTCTCTCTCTCTCTTTCTCCCTTCCTTTCCGCTGTTAATCCTATCAGCTGAATGGCGATGCTCCGCACAATCTCTCACTTCTTGTCCAACCCAGCGAAAAGATAAAATTGGCGAGCTTGTAGCATTTGAAATAGTATAACAAACCAATGAAGTGGAAGGCACAAGCAGAGACACAGCCAGAGCCAGAGCCAGAGCTAGATCCAGAGCTGTACAAATATGTCTATAAATATTTGTCTGAATGCGCCGTCTCTGCTTCTGTATTAAATTCACTTGAGCGTAATCAAATGTAAACGAATCACATTATAGGCTTTTGCTATATTAGGTAAATGCAAAGTGTTTTAAGTGCTCAACAAGACTTTTATTCAGTTTCAGTTGTTCTGCTTGCGCTAGATTGTCAAAAGGCTTGAATAATTAGATTAAAATATTTATTTGGTACAACTCAAATGCCATTAAAACAAAATATTGGATATGAAACGAAAAATAATATAAAATTTATTTGTAAATATATGTAGCCAACAGCAAAAATAAATCAATTCACAAAAAATTGAAATACATTTTGTAAAACACGGAAATTCTGTCAGCTCATGAGGGAATTAATGTGTTTTTGCGATGCTAAATAAATCATGTTGATGAAATGACAAAAAGTGTGTGAAAGTACAAAAAGGGTTGTGTTAACAATTCATAAATTTTAATAAAATTCGAATAAAATCACATTTACAATAATATATAATATAATCAAATATTCGGAGATATGGAATTAAAGTAGTGGTACTGTTTTCCATACTGTACTAGTAGGACAGTACAAACTGCACACATAGTATTTTTCGGGAATCTCTACCGCAGATGAAGAGACGAAAGACTCAAAAGAATATACCCATCACACTTCCTTTACTTTTCATCTCAATATTGAAATATGCCCTTACCTCGATTGAAAGCCTTGACTACTTCACGAACAAACAACTCTACTTTCACATCTTATTAACATTATAT